ATGCCCACATGACACAGCCACATCTGCACACCCTGTAGCTCCACCCATTGGGCAAGAACCATCACCTGCTTCTACACTAACTGATCAGTGATAGACAGTGGCCAATATCAGCTCAACTCACCTTCAGCTGCTTTATGAACAGTGAACAATGTGTACACACATTTTCATCCTCTATCACATCCACCAGGAGAAAGGTAGAGAGTACATAAAGTAGTACAAACAAAGCATCAAAATACAGAGCCAAAAAACCTCCCTGAGAAAAAAAAATAGCATTAACTGATAAGGAATTCAAAAGAAATATCTTTAGGTACTTTCAGTGCATTGAGAAACAGATAAGGAAAACACTGACAAAAGTAAGGAAAACATAAAAATCTTGAAGAATTTTGGAAATCATTAAAAAACCAAAGGGAAAAGAAATGAAAAATTAGAAATTGTATAAAAACAGTAAAATAAATACAGAAAATTAATACTAAGATTTCAGAAATAGATAACACATTGAAAGGACAAAAGAGTAGAATTGAATCAATGAAAGAAAGAGTTAGTGAAATTGAGAATAAATCTCTCAATAATAGAGTGCCTTTCTTTTTTAAAATGCTTTTTTTAATGCATTTTCACCCTTATTTCTTTTAGATCTCTGTCTATATTTCCCCTGGTTCTTTGATTATGTTTAATATTGTTGTATTATTTTCTTCCATTCTGCTTATGATTTGGGCTTCTGTACATGCAATTTCACTCATTTTGTCTTTTGATGGGCCATCATTTCTCCTATTTTTCTGTGGCTTGGAGTTTTTATGGGGGGCACTGGAATTTTCAAAGGTGTTACCTTTGTCAGTGCTCCTCAGCTTTTGGCATTTTTGCCTGTACTTTATTCTGTAGAAAACTCAGCCAGGCACAGCCTTTAGACCTCACTTACTACTTTCTTGTGACAGTTCCTTCTTTCTCTCTAAATACACCAGAGAACACACAGAGTTAAAAATGTTCACAAGAGGGTGCATTCCTCTCTCTGTAGTTATCACTTCCTCTCCGGGCCTGTTTCTGCAACCATATTTCCAGTCTGTAAGCACACATGCGATGAGCCCCATGCAGGCTAGGGATTGTCCTCAAGTTTTGATTGAGGCTTCTTTCCCTTTTTTTTGTGGGACTTTTATATCTGTACTAGCATTTAGCATAGTGCTTAAGGCACTTGACTGCTATCCAGAAGGCTGGTGGTTCAAACCCACCAGTCACTCCTCAGAAGGAAGGTTGGGCAATCTACTTCTGTAGTGACACTGCCTTGGAAACCCAAGGAGGGGTAGCTATGAGTCAGGTCCAACTCGACAGCACATAACAACATCATCATCAAAAGGAGGAAGAGTTTGCAATCCTCAGACCAACCTTAGAGAGATATGTATAATTTTAGAGCCACAGTGGATATGTGTTGGTTGGGGTAGAAGGCTCCAGTTAAATGACCCCACTTCCTAGCTCCACAATGGGGGAGCTTTTGTGACAACTTATATAGCTGATATAACAGTTAACAGTTATATCAGGTGAAAGATGGGCTGGTGTGACCTGAAGGAACCCAACCCTATGGAGGTCTGACTTGTTGACCCCACAGGTAGTATGTTGGCTGTAGGTGCAAAGCTCCATTCAAGGTGCCTGCTTTCTGGCTCACAACAACCTCATCAGCCATTCTCAGTGCTGAGCAGATGGGAGAGTAAACAGGCCCATCTGACCCCCGGGGAGATCTATCCTGTTGATTTCAGAGGCCTGAGTTATGGGGCATCTACTGTCTGAAAGCAGGGAGAGTCCTGGTTGTACTACAAGGGACGTTCTGTAGCAATCTTCAGCAGTCTGGCAGACCACAGGTACTAGGTAGGGTGAGACTGGCAAGCTCAAGGGAGATCTCCTTGTTGACTTCATAGCCTCACTGGAAGTATGTTGAATGTGAGTGCAGGCTTTACTAAAGGCACCCACTTCCTAACTCACAGCAGCCTTAGGTAACATTTCTCAGTGCCAGTGGGGAACAGCAGAGGTCAGACAGATCTGAACTGATGCCTGGGGAGATCTATCCTGGTGATTTCAGGGGTCTAGGTTGTGGAGTTCACAGGCAGGATGTCAGAGTGCTAGTTGTGGAAGCCAGGATACCACTGAAGGAGGCCTTCTGTAGCAATTCAAAGCAGCCTGGCCCCCACATCCACCAGGTGGGGGAGGGTTTTGCATGCTCTAAAATAGTTCTTGGAGAAATCTGCCTTGTTGATTTTAGAGAAGGAGCTGGAGGTCCTCTTTCTGCATAATAAGGGACTGTGGTGGCTAGGGAAGCAGGCTTTTACTGAAGTCACTTCCCCAGTCCACAGTAACCATTGTCATTCGTAGCTGTCAGGAGGGGGAGGAATGGGGAGGAGGGGCAGAGAGAGTGGGAGAAGAAATTTTTCTACCATATGCAACTTGTATTGACTCCTTACCCTTATGCAATTCCCTGCTGTTGTCCTATGCTCCCTAATTTAGGATCCTTCAATGCACCTACTTGTATTTCTTGGTATATATATGGAGGAGTGTTGGAAAGATGGGAAGCCCTGAAAGCATAGTGGTTAAATGCACAGCTGCTATCTGAAAGGTCACAGTTTGAATCTACCAGCTGTTCTACAGGAGAAAGATGTGGTAGTCTGGTTCCATAAAAATCTGCCACCGTGTAGAGCCTATGTTGTGGCTATTAGGTGTCATCAAGTCGGCTCTGACTCATAGAAACCCTATGTACAACAGAACAAAACACTGCCTGGTCCTGTGAAATCCTCATAGTTCTTGTCATGCTTGACCCTAGTTTTGCAGCCACTGTGTCAATCCATCTCATTGAAGACCTTCCTCTTGTACACTGACCCTCTACTTACCAAGCATGATATCCTTCTCCAGGGAATGGTCCTTCTGACCACATGACAAAAGTAGGCAAGATGAAGTCTGGCCATTCTTGCCTCTAAAGAGCATTCTGGTTGCACTTCTAGGATAGATTCATTTGTTTTTCTGCCAGTCTGTGATATTTTCAGTATTCTTTGCCAACACCACAATAAAAAGACATCAACTCTTCTTTGGTTTTCCTTATTCATTGTTCAGCTTTCACACGCATCTGAGGCGATTGAAAATTCCTTGGATTGGGTTAGTGCATCTTAGTCTTCAAAGTGACATCTTTGCTCTTTAATACTTTAAAGAGATCCTGTACACCAGATTTTCCCAATCCTATACAACAATTGATTTCTTCACTGCTACTTCCATGGGCCTTGCGTGTGGATCTGAGTAAAATGAAATTTCTGACAACTTCAATCTTTTCTCCATTTACTGTGATTTTGCTTATTGGTCCAATAGTGAGGATTTTTTTTTCTTCTTTCTTTATGTTGAGGTAGAATCCATACTGAAGACTGTAGTCTTTGATCTTCGTCAGTAAGTACTTCATGTCATCTTCCGTTTCAGCAAGCAAGGTTGTGTCATTTGCATATCACAGGCTATTAATGATTCTTCCTCCAGTCCTCATGCCACACTCTTCATATATTCCAGCTTTTTGGATTATTTGTTCAGCATACAGATTGAATAAGTATGGTGAAAGGATCCAACCATGATACACACCTTTCCTGATTTTAAACCAAGCAGTATCACCTTCTTCTGTTAGAACAACAACCTCTTGGTCTATGTACAGATTCCTCAAGAGCACAATCAAGTGTTCTAGAATTCCCATTCTTTGCAATGTTATCTATAACTTGTTATGATCTGCACAGTTGATGTCTTTGCATACCCAACAAAACACAGGAAAACGTTTCCGGTATTCTTTGTTTTTAGTCAAGATCTATCTGATGTTAACAATGATATCCCTTGTTCCACATCCTCTTCTGAATCCAGTTTGAATTTGTGGATGTACCCTGTCAATGTACTGCTGTAACTGTTTTTGAATTATCTTCATTAAAATTTTATTTGTGTGGTTAGTAATGATATTATTCAATGATCTCCACATTCTGTTGGGTCATCTTTCTTTGGAATAGGTACAAATATGGATCTCTTTCAGTCAGTTGTCTGTCTTCCAAATTTCTTGATGTAGACAGCTCCTGGCCTTGTTTTGTCTCTTTCCACAGATGTAATCTATCTGATTTCTCTGTATTCCGTCTGGTGAGGTCCATGTGTATAGCCACCATTTATGTTGTTTAAAAAGGGTATTTGCAATGAATAAGTCTTGCAAAAATCTGTTGTGTGATTTCTGGCCTCATTTCTATCACCAAAGACATATCTTCCAATTACTGGTGATTCTTCTTTGTTTCCAACTTTCATGTTCTAATCATCAACAATTATCAATACACCTTGATTGCATGCTTTGTCAATTTCACACTGCAGAAGTTGGTAAAAATCTTCAATTTCTTCATTTTCACTTTAGTACTAAATTTATGCTTAAATTTGAATAATATTATTATTAACTGGGCTTCTTTGTAGGTGTATGGATATTATCCTATATCTGACAGTGTTGTACTGATAGATCTACTCTGTCCTACAGAGTTGCTTTTAGTGAGAATTGGTTTGACAGCAATGGATTTGTTTTTTTGTTTTTCATTTTTTTTTGGTTTGGGCTGGAATTATGATCTATGTAGACTACCATCTTCCCAGAATTCTGGGTTTGATTTTATTACAAAATTGTGATACTAAGTTACTTATATATTATCTTATATTTTATTTTATAGCTTAGCCATATATTCTAGCTTAACTAATGTTACATAACATCTATATATTCATCTATCACTAACAACTTTTTGTGTCTAAACATCTTGTGTTCCTAGAACTAATTTTAAATTACAAGTAAGAATCTCTCCTTCCACTGAGAATTTTGAAAGGTAAGGAAGGCAGAGTTTAAATTGTAACTATAGGACAAGCCTTAAAGAAAAATGCTTATTTTCAAACATCCCATTGAGGTATTAATGCATATATTAATAAGCTCAATGTTGCTCTCTTCCTCTGACACCAAGTATTAACACACATGTGTTTTTTCTCCACAGTAAAGCCTACCATAATTGATGTTGACATTTATGTTAACAGCATTGGGCCAGTGTCATCGATAAACATGGTAAGAAGCTATTTTATTTTCTGATCAGATGAATTTACATCTTTCTTGCTTCCATACTTATTGTGGATTTCTATCTGAGATTTACTATGCTAGTCTAAAATTTATGATTGATTTCCTAAATCTGGGGCATTTGTTGATAGTTTAAATGATAAAAATGGTAAAACCTGAGAAGCAGAATATGTGACACTAGCAGTAAGCATTGACCTCATGAGTAAGAAATAGCTCCCCCCCCCCATTCCACACACATATTTACAGCTCAGAGTTATCTTCATGGGATTGTTTGTAATTTTGCAGTCATTGGATGTATTTGACCTCATGAATATTTAAGAACATATATATATATATATAAGTATATATATGGACTGCCAGAAGAACAAACACATTTGTCCTAGAGGAAGTGTAGCCGGAATGCTACTTAAAAGCATATATATATATATGACATATTTTTACTTCCTTGCCTTCTATCAAGATCCAAGAGATCTACCTTTTAGTGTTTCTCAGGACAGAATCAGAGTTTACCTACCTCATACTTCTGTCTTCAGTTTGAGGTCTGCAGAAAAATTAACTATCTCTTGTACAAGAGTATGTGCACAGAATCACACATGAGATGTCTCTGAGTAGGATATTTCCACATACATGTAAGAAAAATGAATTCAAGACATAACTATTTTCAATATAAAAAGAAGTCCTTCTCTGTAAGAAAGTATTTAGTTATTATGAATGTGTCTGTGTGCTAGAATACATGCATGGAAAAACTTTGTGGTGTATGAAGTAGGCAAGGATTCCAGGAACACAAAAAGCACTGGAAGATCCACAGGACACAGGAACTCCTGTCCACTGGTTGTCTACTCTGTGTTCATACCTGCACATTTGCTCCTGGGTTTGTGGGATGTGTAAGTCTGGAGATGAAGAATTGCAAAAATGCCTTTCTTTCATTACAGTGTTCTGTGAGTCAAAATGACTTCTCCAAAATTAACAGAATCATTTATTTTCATTGACCTGTTTTAAAAATATTCACCTTTATTCCAGTGATATAAAGGTTACATGTAGATGTAAAATCATAATTTATAGATCACTCACTTGAAAAAATCCTCATGTCATTCATAGCCTGGAGAAAAATGGGCAAAATGGCAAAAAGGTAAAATGAATAATGGTATTTATGGGTTGCAGCATGATTATATCTTAAAATCAAATTATAAAAATCACATGTTTTACTGATAAGCATTTTATTTAACTACATAGAATGAATAATTTTTTATTAATGCGTTCTTTTCCATTTTTGGAGTTTGTTTCCTTATACTTGTTAAATATCACTTTATTCAGCAATTTTTAGGTTGAATACTGATTTATAGCTAACATTTAAAAAATGCCTTTGCAGAAATGTAGTTACAAAATGATTTGGGGGATAATTTTTCATGTTTACATATATGGAGATTTTTGTGAACTTCTATAAATGTGAGGTTACTTTGTGTCCAGTATTAAGCTTTGCCATTGGAATTGATGGAGCAGTCTCCTTGTACTTGTAGGTTGCAGAGGAGGGGAATAAGTCAACTTCCATCCATCACAGGATGAGAGAGGCTTATGAAGGCAGGCATTGCCCTTGAAGAATTGGCAGAAATTTGATAGACTTCTCTAATGAGGTGTTCTCAACCTGAATCTTGACCAGTAGGCAAGAGTTTAAATTGGAATTCTTATCAATCCTTATACTTGTCCATGGTGAGAGGGCCTTGGTGAAGAGAGGTAGGATAACATGGTGCATGAAAACACTGGGAAATGAGGCCTTTGCACCCCATCCCTGTTCCATTTCACTGTGGGCTGAAGCTGTCAGATGTGAAGTTAGGAGGTGTTATCTTAGTTAAGTCCAATAGAGTTAAAAAAATGTAGTAGAGAAGGAGAGAAATTCTGTTCCATAAAGGATTATTATTACTAGAGGATGTTTTATTGCCACATGAAAATTTCCTGAAGGCATCTAAGCTCAGGAATATATCCATCTTCCCAAAAGAGGTCACAAGTGCAGTACCACAGTGACACTTTTATTTGGTTTTCTCTACTTGAGGTTCATAGCATTTTTTTCATCTGCAGTTTTATATCTTTCTTAGTTACCTGTGCTGCTATAACAAAAATACCTTATGTGGATTGTGTCCTCAAAAAATCCAAACAATTTTACGTGGATGGCTTTAACAAACAGAAACTTATTTTCTCACAGTTTAAAACAAAACCAAACTTATTGCCATTGAGTTGTTTTCCTACTCATAGCGACCCCTCCTTGGGTTTCTGAGGCATTATCCATAGGGAAGTAGATTGCCCAATCTTCCTTCTGAGAAGTGGTTGGTGGGTTTGAACCACCCCTTCTGGTTAGCAGTCAAATGACTTTGGTGCTACGCCAGGACACAGTCTTTAGTGGAAGGCTTTCTAACTCTAATGGCCCTGGAGGAGGCTGTCTCTTTTCAGCGTTTGTTCCTCAGATCCTTGGTGATCTTCATGTGCCCTGACATCTATCTCCCTCCACCATTGCTACTTATTTTTCTGTGCATCATCTGCTCATTTTATATCTTGAAGGTGGTTGGTTTAAGACAAATCCTACACTGATATGACTTCATTAAAATAATAACCCTATTCAATGTATGTATGGGATTACATAGAGATTAGAATTTACAACACATCTTTTTGAGGACACAATTTAATCCTTAACAAAACTCTTCATCAATTTTTGAAAAGTATTGGCCATTATTTCTTAAAATACTGTTTCTTCATTTCTCTCTTTCTTCAGTCTAGGATTCCAGTCACAGGAATGTTAAACTTTGCTACCTTCTCCCATTTGTTTCTTATGCTTGCTCTGTTCTTTTTGAACTTATATTTTATGTGGCTTTTCTGTTTTTTCTTAGTGGGAGCATTGGTCTACTAGAAGCTATCCCATTGTAGCCATGCACTTTTTTTTTTTTTTTTAATTATGCTGAGGTGGAATAAAGTTTAATTTCTAAAGGTAACAAAGAATAAAAGGGATTAAAAAAAAAAGTAAAGCCTAAAGGAAATTTCTTTCTTGCTTAAGTAGCCTCCAAAATGCCTTCAGAGTTGTGAAGAAGAGTGTATTCTAGGGTCTAATGTTTCAACGTTTTTCTTCAAAATGCTGAGTGTTTGAAGGCAACTAAAAGAATACTGAAGATACTATGGACTGCCAGAAGAACAAACACATTTGTCCTGGAGGAAGTGTAGCCAGAATGCTACTTAAAAGCAAGAATAGCCAGACTTGTCTCACCTAATTTGGTCATGTTGCCAGAAGGGACCATTCCCTGGAGAAGGATATTATGCTTGGTAAAGGAGAAGTTCAGCAAAAAAGGGGAAGCCCCTCAATGAAATGGATTGACATGTGGCTACAATGATGGGCTCAATCATAGCAAGGACTATAAGGAAGGCGTAGGACTGGGCAGTATTTTATTCTCTTGTACATGGGATTGCTATAAGTCAGAGTCAACTTGATGGCACCTAGCGACAACAAAGGAGGTACATTATGTATTTCTCTCAGCAATATTAACTTTAGAGGAACAAATACTTGCCCATGATCAGTTGTTTAGAAGGATAGTCTTATATGTAGTTACAATATTCTTTAAAGACACAAAAAGCAATGTTTTTACACATAAAATTTGTATATTCAAGACTTGATTCATCACCAGAGAAATTTTCAATGTAAACAATAATAATACTTAAAACTATAATATTATAGTATAAAACAATAGGTTATATTAGAGAAGCCACACAATTTAAATGGAAATAATACCTGGAGCTTTACAAAATATCCAAGGATCAGAAGGAAGATAATACTTAATAGCCTTTGTACAACTGAGATTCAATAAACCTCTGGATCCCTACACTAACATTTCTTCCTACTTACCCTCACACTTCTAACATCCATATCAGTTGTTGTAAGGTGCCATTGGCTCTAATTCATAGTGACCCTATGTACAACAGAACGAAACTCTGCCTGGTTGTACACCATCTGCACAATCGTTGTTATACTTGAGCCCATCATTGCAGCCACTGTATATATCTGTATTGTTGAGGGACTCCCCATTTTTTGCTGAACCTCCACTTTATAAAGCATGATAACCTCCTCCAGGGAATTGTCCCTTCTGACAATATGAACAAAATAGGTGAGATGAAGTCTGGCCATTCTCACTTCTAAGGAGCATTCCGGCTACACTTCTTCCAAGACAGATTTGTGTGTTCTTTTTGCAGTCCATGGTATTTCCCATATTCTTCACCAATACCACAATTCAAAGACATCAACTTTTCTTCGGTCTTATTTAGTCATTGTTCAGCTTTCACATGCATATGAAGCGATTGAAAACAACATGGATTGGGTTAGGTGCACTTTAGTCTCCAAAGTGATATGTTTGCTCTTCCACATCTTTGCTCTTCAGCACTTTAAAGAGGTACTTTGCAGCAGATTTGCCTAGTGAAATACCACATCTGATGTCTTGACTGCTTCTTCCATGATGTCGATTGTGGATCCAAGTGATATGAAATCTTTGACAACTTCAATCGTTTCTTCATTTATCATGATGCTGCTTATTGGTCCAGTTATGAAGACTTTCATTTTCTTTATGTTGAGGTATAATCCATACTGCAGAATGTGATCTTTAATCTTCATCAGTAAATGCTTCAAGTCATCTTCACTTTCAGCAAGCAAAGTTTTGTCATCTGCATATCGCAGGTTGTTAATGAGTTTTCCTCCAATCCTGATGCCAAGCTCTTTTCATATAGTCCAGCTTCTCAGATTACTTGCTCAGCATACAGATTGATTAAGTATGATGAAAGGATACAACCTTGACACACACCTTTCCTGATTTTAAACTATGCAGTATCCCCTTGTTCTGTTAGAGCAACAGCCTCCTGGTCTACATATAGCTACCTTATGAGCACAAATAAGTGTTCTGGAATCCTCATTCTTCTCAATATTATCCATAATTTTTTTATGATCCACACAATTGAATTCTTTTGCA